ACTGAACCGCTGAAGATATTTTACCATAACCACAGATCAATAAGGTTTTAGATTTCAAAACTCACGTTTACGTTTGCCTTTGAAGCATTTATACCCCTAAATTAAATTCTCAAATTTCCTTTATTGTTATTCGTGATGAAGAAATAACTCAATTTCCCCATTCCACTTTTATTTCTTATTACTGTATTTTCTATTACCTTTCATCATTTGATAATAATTATTTTTAAAGTTCAAGCCTGACACCACGATTTGCTTTACAGTCGCTCCTAGTTTAGAGTTGTTTTCTTTTGAGCAAGTGAAAGATTCACACGCAGTAACATCTTGCTTTTCAAACTTAAAATTAAAGTTTACTATTTAAGGGCTATTTTTTTTCGTAATTATCATCTTTCCTTTAGGTTCAGAGAAGATTTTGTGCATCAAATGAAACTAGTTAAAAAATTACATAAAAATAATTTTGTAAAAATTAATCAGTTTACAAGCCTGTCACGTTTTAATGCGCATCGAGGTACTTACTACCTTTGCAAAATGTTGCACTTTTTGATAGATCAAAAATACAGCTAGGGTCAAAAGTATTCATATACTAGTAAAACAAGTTGAAAAACGTTTCTCATTCACCAGAAAAATCATATAATGAATATTTTATAGAGTTTAATCTTTGCGAGCATAAACTAGTATATTCAAACTATTGACAGACTTTGCAGCTCTATCTAGAAGAGCAAATTATCGCTTCCTCTAGAGAGAGCTGCAAAGTCTTAAGAAGATTTTAAAACAAACCTTTTTATTAAATCAGAGCTGGAACTTAAATGAAGATCTCGCGCTTACAAATTAACACGTTCCCTGCCGCGTGGGGCGTATGCGCCCCACGCGAAACTTTCCGTTCAAGCCATTTGGTATTATCATTGTAAAATGAAGAATTTTTTAAAAATTCATTATACAGTCAATTATGGGCATCTTAATACTACTGCTGATGCCCTCATTTAATCGTGGGGCGTATACGCCCCAAGCGGCGTGATGGGCAATTTTTTTTCTCCGTAACTTGTTTCAACTGCATTCCTCGTATTTCGATCAATCATTTATTCGCGTGTCATTGATACACTACTTACTGCTTCACTGAAGCTGGGATTGATTTATAGTTCAGTGTGTTTCTTGATTTATAGTCCAGTGTATTAGACGAAGGAAATACGGTACGTACATATTATTCAATGTTATAATTCGATATTTTGCATTTAAAAAGGTTGCAATTTTCCCGCCTTTCTTCTTCAGACTTTTCCAAATTTTACAATAATTACTCCTTATAAGCAGATAAGGCATCAAACACAGCAACAGTTTTTCTAGTGATGATTCTGACGACGACGAAGGCCACTTTAATTCGATAAGACGATGCTGTAAAATTTGTTAAGAAAGAAATGTTCAAAATTTGGGTTTCCCATTGGCAAGAAACTGTTACTGTAAAGTTGCAACATTCTGCAATAGTTGTGTGGATAAACCACACTTATGTTTGCCATGTTTTATTAAAGTTCATCGTAACATCCCTTTGTAATTGCATACAAACTTGAATTTAATTAAAATGTTATATTTAAAACTGATATACGTACGATAAAAAAAATTATACGTGAGGATGCTACTTGCTTGGCATAGTAATGTTCAGCCAGGTATTTGTTAAACTAATTCCTAGAAAAATAAATTTATTGGTTGGTTGTGTTATGCATGTTAAACTATACAACTTTCCTTGATCATTTTGGACTTTGCGCTATTTTAATTATTGTAAGGCATACGCCAGAAACAAAATAATACAAATGTAAAGAGTGGGGCGCATACGCCCCACGCGGCCTGAAGAGGAAGTCTTCAAAAAACGGTCTGGCAGGGAGCGTGTTAACCACCACTTGTGGCGATGTAACTTAAAATTTAAAGGAATAGTCAATTTCAAGATTTAAAACTAACCTTAACAGCCAAAGGCTACACAATTGATTTTACGGGAAGTGGGCTCAAACTTCTCCCCAGCGTAACAAATTTCAATGTCGGCAACTATAGTGCAAAGTCTAAGACTAAATCTTATCTGAACTAGTAGAACCCAGTAACATGGCCTCGAGAGGCAGAAATATGCTCCGTCTTACAATCTAACGACTTCATCTTAAATACTCTCGAACCTGATTTACATTCTGATAGGGAAATGGAAAAGGAAGTAACAGATAAGATCCAAATTTTTCTAAAATAGCTGGTTATTCAAAGTAATAATAATCCTACAATTTAATATGATCTTCATTTATTTGAAGTATTACGCTATGAAGGAAAATTAAAAAAAAAAGTTCTTTTTATTTCCACTTGACAGAGAGAATCTGATGCCGAGATTATTTAATTGAGCCGAGATAATCTAATTTTACCTCCTCGTCATTGTCATTTGGACTTATTGAATTTTAATATAAATCTCGATTTTATGCATAGAGTTGTTAAAAACGAAATGAGCGATTCACAATTAATATCTATTGCAATGGAAACTATCGCTATCCTCAAAATGAGTGGCTGAGTGTCTACACTGACGGCTCTATGTTGAAGAGAGTGCCCAGTGCTGAAGCATCATTATCATTATTATCATTATCACCATCATTATCATTATTATTATTTACGTGAACTGCCCTAAGGCACTACACGGAGGGGAGGGATGCCTTCGCGGAGGATTTTCTATATGAAACTGGCTCGTATTAACACGCTACTCATGGGAATTCGAACCAAGAAAAGTTTTGCAAGCCATGTTACTAAGAAAACTGTGTACTGATATGATAAACTGAGAAAAGACCGAAAAAAATAGTAATATGTATTCCAGCACTTTAAACTTCATCGGGGATTCTAAACACATGCTACTTTTATAATTTTGCTGTTGAATTGTACATGGCGTAAGTGCCAAGAAAATGATGCTTAATAATAAAGCTAAAAAGGATAAAAAGAAAGGGGTTAACGGGAGTGAATACAACAACAGACTGGTAGACTGCGAACTCAGCGAGAGCGTAAAGGGAGGCCATTAAAAATCTGAAAACTTTTAATTTTTTTTTTAATTCATTGTTCTTTTTCTTAAGAACGTAGCCTTTCCAGTTATAGATATTTATTCCTTATTTTATTTACTGTTGTATTTTCTCAAAAATTTCCCTGTTTGAGTAATAAATATTGTGATAAGCCTATATATACATATGCAATTTTAATATACCTCCTACACAACTTCATCATTACTACCAATGAGTGGGATTTTATTTGCTGAGTTAAAACAGTAACACTATTTCGAGGTGAGGTGCTAAAGCATTAGTAAAATTTTACACGTGGCTAATTTTTTGCAATAATTAGTAGCATGGGATATGGGAAAATTTTTAATATAAACAAAAGTATTACAGTTAAGAAGAATACAGAAACACCGATTTGAGAAGTTTTTGTTACATGCATTATTTTAAGTTTTTCACACAGTACAATATTGCGTAAATTTAAGCTTCATTATTTGCTATCTTACAGATTGCTTGGCAGTGGCAAAAATACGCGAGAGCTACCTAGTAAGGGGAAAGAGGCTTTTATGGGTTGAAATTCTAAAGAAAACTGGCCAGTATTGACTTATATTTGAGAAAAGAGAGAAACCAGTGCAGCCAGTCTGTTTACTAGGAACCAAATTTGGAACGATCTATAAGCGTTCAGATGTCTTATTCTCTAGTTCGCAGTATTAGATTAAAAGCTAGAAATGCTTGTCAGGAAAGCAGTTTATCACCTCTTTTTTAAAGTTATAATACACATTTTTATGCTATCACCATTTAATACCATATTTAAATAATAAATAATTAGATTTATGGTATTAAATCAAAAATTCAATACTGTTATATTTTATATCCAAGCCTAATTTCAAAAAATAGATGTGAAGTCTGACGAAAGGACGACAAGGAACATAAACAATATTAACTAAATAAAATTGCAAATAATAAACAATAAAATTAAATAAAATATAAAAAAAAGTTTTTTTTTTTTTTTTTTTTTTTTTTTTTTTTTTTTTAAATATCTGAAAAGCTTTTAGATTTTACATTACGCCCAAAGAGACTTTTTTTTAAAGTTTTGTGTGTTACCTTTATTTACTAAATATCATGTTCTTCGAACTTAAACCATGAAATTCAATTAACAGCAGTATCACAAAATACTTAAAAATAGCATATCCTTAGGATTTTCCGATACAGAGTCGCGCGCTGGAAATATTTTTTTCCGTACAGTGTTGCCATTGCTCACTTTGAAATTGTTTAATTTGTTCGTAAAAAATTCGTTAAAGTTTTGCAAAATATGAAATAGGTAATAAAACAAACTCCAAATTCCAAATTTGGGCTTCCAGATGCCCAATTTCGTTATTACTAAAAGCTAGAAATGCTTGTCAGGAAAGCAGTTTATCACCTCTTTTATCACCCTTATCAAGTTTGATGTCTCTACGTACCGTTGTTCGTTCATAGTGCGAGAAACACATACAGTTATGCAGATTCTTCATTACTTAATTTCTTTAAATATAGCACAGAGCTCTAATATTTGGTGGTAACAATTTGGAAAATGAAACGACATTTAAAGTGAACCAACACAAAATGCCAAAACGAAATTCATAGCCCTTCTAGGCAATTGCCCTCTTGGGCTAATAAATAAGTAAATAATAATAAATTACGTTTAATTATGACAAATAATTAAATAAAAATTTAAAAAACAGGCAGTTATGTTGCTTAGGACTCCGGCTGAAAATACGATATTAATTTAAGATTGAATAGAACTGGAGCTAAGCTCTGACGGAATTTAAAACTTGCCTATTTCAGCGGTTACTAAAAATCGCACGGCATTGAAAGTGAGGAATCAGTAGCTGAGTACATATTTAAGCTTTAAATTAATAATATATTTTCATAAACTTATATTCAGACAATGTAATGAATGTTTCTAAGAAATGCTTTCACGTAATGCCAGAAAATATTAAATAAAATCTGAAAATTATTAACGAAAATTCTTACCCGATATGATTTGCAAACTATGTTTCCATCCTGCATGATTTTTCAAATAAACAATGTACAGAGCTCATTGAAGTGCAGGCATTTTCAAAAGAAACAATGTACAAATCCCATGAAATTTTGATGATCTAGCATCAAAGGGGAAAAGCATTTATTATGCTCAAAACACTTACCGTTCAATCAACAGATAACACCCACGACAAGTATGAGCACCATCATTCCCCGCTGCCTTACAGCAACAGACTCAACGCTGTTTTACTGACAAGCAACAAAAGTAAATCCGGTTACATATGGAAACAAAACAATGTAATAGAAAAAGAAAAGAAAATTCCCCTTTGCTCAAGGTCAGACAGCAACCCCCCCCCCCACTTTGAAGACAATTTCTTGCAGGTTTGAAACCCTAAATATATATTCTTAGTGAGCAATTGTTATTCTGGACACAAACCTGCTTTCCAAGAAGTTTTGGTCTTAATTCTTTGGAACATAGTGTATCAAAGTGTTTTTGAGATTACCGTATTCGTCAACAAAATTTCCAGTTTAAAAGTCACTACACGTAATTTGGGAATGTACTGTTAATCGTGCAGAACTTTACTGACCGAAAAGAAAGAGGACTGGTAGTCGCTTTGGCAACCAGTTTGGTACTTCCTGTCTGATTGGGGGGGGGGGGGAAGAAGGTCCTTGAAAGTGAATGGAAAGTTGTGAATCTTGATACTAATTAGATACTAATGGAAAGATGGGGGATTCCCATACGGTAGATCAAGCTAAGTCAATCTGTATAGGACAAGTTTAACGAGTTCCCTTTCCCCGGCAAAAAAACATGTTGCGGTTTATGGACAATATGAATTATTTTCAATCAAATCATTGAAGACTGGGACATTTAATTTCTCATTGCTTGTCAATGTTCCGCTTAGGAATAATAATAAGTAAATAAATAAACAAAATTCTTAAAATGATTTCTTATCAGAGATAATTAATTTATTTCAAAAATGTCTAGGGTGAATTTGGTTTTGGAAATAATTAATTTCAACAAAAATGTAGTGCGTTTTAATTAATTATACATTCTCAATAAAGCACTTTAGTTCTTTAGTTCCGTTAAATTTATTGATGAGCACTTTAGTTCCGTTAAATTTATTGATGAGGGAATTCTCCCTTTGCTTTCGAACTTTTTCTCAGCTAAACGTTAAAGTGACGCAGACATATTTTTAAATCATTATGTGATATGGGATCAGTGGCGCACACAGGGATTTTTCAGGGGGCGGGGGTCGAGGGTCGAAATTCCACCATTCTCGTATCATACCCCAATACGCCGCCAAACATATTCTTTTGATTTTATGGATTGTTGGGAAGAAAAAACAGAAAAAATAATAATTAGCATTAATTAATAAAATTAATTAATAACAAATACTTAATTAAATTACCATAAAGCACAAGAATTTATGTATTTAGTTTTTTCATAAGTCAAATATAAAATCAGCAAAGCAAATTTATCATTATAGAAGCACCAAGTCATAGAGGAAGAAAAATCTCACTTTAATCTGTAATTACAAAACTGAAAACATGACGATTACAGTGTTTTCACTTACAGTCACCGGTCTACTTCTATGAGTTTACAAATAGTCACAAAATAAAATCTAGTTTTCATAGTTTTTTTGCGATGTCATTTATAACTTCCTCAGGGAGTGATGGTGAAGTTGCTGGAATTCAGCAGTGCAAGACCATTTTAACGTTCACTATGCATGGTACTTCTCAAGTATGTTTTCAGCCTTCTCAAAATCGAGAAAGATCTCACGCTTGTGAAATTCGCTACAAGAATAGGGTGGGATTTATTTAAAATCAAAGTTTGTGGATTAGATTATTTAGATTATAGCAGAGCATAAAAGGACTATGTGCCTAAAGGCAGGAATGCCTTCGTGGAAGATTTTTTTTTTAAGGGAAAGGGACTTGTATTCATGTTGTAGAGGCATTAGGTTATTTCGAAAAAGAAGATGGGAAAAATGTGCAAAATCCTCGCCTGGACTCGAATGCACATCGAGAACTCTCGAATACGCGTCGCGTATGCTCCCAATTACACCATGAAATGCGGAAAGGAGGATAAAAAATACCTTACATACTCTCTCTTTTAAAGTGCAACTGAGGAGGAGGAAATCCAGTCGCCCAATCCTGGTGGAGACGAATTATTGTCCGCCACTTTTTTTGTAGGTAGGGTGCCACTGTAGATTCTTAGTTTATTTTGTTAGTTTATGCTGGAGACATGAAAAATGAACAATGCCCTCGTCTGGACTCGAGTCTTGGACCTCTCGAATACGCTTCGAGTATGCTTCCAATTGCACCACGAAAGCATGCGGAAAGAAGAGAGAAAATACCTTATAAGGTTATACTGAGAAGAACTACGAAAATTTCATGCAGCCAGTCGGTTCGACGAGAATTTAGTTGGCGTCAGACTATCAGTTTCACCGCTGGACAGGAGCAAAATTTATAAATAAAATTTGAAAAATAGTATTTTCGTTTTAAACTTGTTTTATTACAATCATAATATCAACGTTATATAAATGGGATAAATGAATGTCAACAATCATGATATCAACTTTGTATAAATATGAATTTTAACTATGCATAGTTTTTATGTTTAACATCATGAATTACTTTTTTACAATTTTTCAGATATATTTTTCGCTGCAATGAATGGTATACATTCTGTTATCTAATCCTTAAGAGAAACTTTAATATTCTGATATTAATAAAATACGAAGCTACATGCAATTAAAATTTAACTATAAATCACAACAGTTTGAAATCCCGGAATGGCCGAGTGGATGAGACCCCTGAAAACTGGTAGTTCGACCCCGGTTAAAATCTCAACTATTATACGATTTACAACTATTACATGAGCATTTTACGTAGTTTTCCTTAAGTGTAATGAGTATACGATTTAGAGAGCACTTCAGCTAGTCAGATAGCACTCGTCTGTATTGCAATAGCCAAATAATCCAGTGTAGGATAGTTTAATGCATTATGGTTTTGATGAGACTGAGAAGCATTCTTAGTGCAACATCAAATTTTATCTGTGCTTGGGATTTTCAGACAAAATTTATCTGGTAATTTTGTCTGTGCTTGGGATTTGCAGACAGAAATTTCTATGGAAATTTTGTCAGTGAGAATTATTATTTTCTTCGTCGCATTACTTCAAAATTTTATATGGTTAAAATAATCGAAGACTTTCTGTAAAATAAAATACATAAATCGATCCTTTTTCAAAAAATTTAAACTTTAAAAACACTTTTATAATTGCAAAAAATAAGTAATCCATTTTATTTCTGCTTCAACTAAATGAAATGGAATAAATAAAAGGGTATTAACGTAAGCTCTTAAAATTAAACATGTTGTTTTTATTCTTATCAAATTAATATTGAATGCGTAAAACAGATGTGTAAAACAAAACGCATATTCTATTTTTACTTTCCGAAATATATTTAAATTAATTTATTATTTTCTTAAAAATATTTTTACTGTATTATATTATTCTTTCATATTATTTAAGTCAGTGTCATCGAAGTTTGTCGGGAAGCCCTAAATCTATAATTTTCTTCTTAGAAACTTTAAAATTATATAAATTTTTTGGGAACTCATAAAACCATTATTTTTAGTTGAATCTTTACCATTTCCAGAAAAATAACCACTTCTCCTTTCCGCAATGGTCGAATTTTGCTAATTAAGCGTTCGTCGGGAATGGAGGAACTCACTGATCATTTAGCCGTCTCACTACTGAGAACACTGCCCAGGAGGCGCCACAGGCGGAGAACTAATTACCCCAGCGAGAAAGAGGAAGGCTGTGCTACAATGCTGGAGGTTTGGTTTGGTTTATGTTTTACGTCCATGCAGTCAGTCCGTTTGCGGGATTCAAACCTCGGACCGAACTACCAGTGTTCAGCAACTTTACCGCTCAGCCGCTGGTGGGTCTCACAGTTTTGAAGGAGAACGCCCAGCAGGATGGATCCGAGCGTTTTCTTTTTCTTTTCTTTCCTTATCATCACTATTTAGAGAAGACTTTCCGCTTGACACTATTTTAAGTGACCCGTAACCTTAAAGACACTATATACATATAAACATCCATGCCTTCTCGGGATTCCAGCCCCAGGCCCAAGATTTTGTGGCAGTTAGCTTCTCTACCACCATGCCAACAGAGAGCCTGAAAAACAAATCTTAAAATAGCTAAAAAAAAAAAAAAAACGCTGAAAGTATATTAATGGTGAATGCATTTTATGTGGAATGTACAAAGAAAATCATTATTTCATTGTAATTGGACTCGTGAAAACAGGTCTACTTTATTTTATTTCCAGTAACAGTAACAACAGAAATAAAAAATATTAATTTAATTAATTATTTTAAATGGTTATTTTGGCAGACGATTCAGAAATTCCCCATTCTTCCATCACTGCACCATTAATTCGCCCAGCACTTGTTAGCACCCCCCCCAGCACTCGTCTTGAGCATAATATGCACCAAAGTGAGTTATGTGAAGCAAGTTATTCTCGTCAGCGGGGCTACCTGGCCGATATGCTAACTGCCCCAGTGAATCGGCCACCTCGCTGTCGGTGAAAAGAAAGAAATTCTTTCGAATTTCGACTTTCTTAACCCCTAAAGGAGAAGCTTGGAACCTCATGGTATTGCAAAACATAGTTTGAAGGCCAGTGACTGAAGTAACTCGTAACTCAATTAAAAGCAAATTTAATTTTACTCGTTCTAGAGTGGATAAACAACCTGGATAGCTGACGTTACAGTTACTTAGGATAATAGAAACTCAATTAATAATACATATCATGCTCATAAATAAATGGGTACTTACGTAAATCAATTATAAAAATGATTGTCGTAAAATGTTTTAACAATGATATAACATTACCTTATATGACAATAAAATTATGCATCAGTAATGAAGGAACTAAAATAAAATGTTTATATATTTGCGAAAGCATTCTAAATTCTGCCGATCAAAGTATGCTGTGAAATTCACGAGTGGGTATAACACAAAACGAACTTCCGCCCTTTTTTCCTGTTTGACCTTGCCATTCCTGTTTGTCGTACCGGATTTGCCCACACCATTTAATTTAATATTTATGCCGTTTGCTTCAATCTGTAAAATAATTTAATTAACTTCTTAACAGACCAGTGCTCTTCAAATTGCGATCCGCAAAACCTTTTAACTCCTGTAGGGGC